TTCTCCACCTCACCCAAAAGTCGTTGACCAGGAACTGGACTCTCCGCCATCTTTTTCTGGAGTACAGATCAGCACGTTGAAATTCACCAGGCGGGGGCAGTGTCACTTTAGATTTCATGGGAGTAGATGGCTGGGTGTCAGTGGCTCAGGCATCTGTGGAGAATTTATCATGTCAACGGTCAATGGGCGACAATTCACGACGGCTTCAGCCTCCACCCTAAAGGTTCTGAGTGTTTCAACAAGTCGGGCAGCATGCTGGCAGAAGTGATGTTAACACATTTTGGACTGTACGGATTTGTTGCTCCCTGGCCCCACCCATGTGGCTTCAGAAACATTCATCTTAAAATCCACTCAGTCAGAGTTGTTCTTCACTAATTCTTGTCATATCTTCTTGTGTTCCAACGTTGATAATGCCTGTTGCAGCTCATTCCTTGGGCCAACAAAATTTGTGCCTTGGTCAGATCGCAGTTGTCGCACTGGGGTACAGCGTCCTACAAATCGATGATAGCATTGAGAAATGAGTCAGTAGAAAGACTGCTCGCGACTTCAAGGTGGACGGCTCTGGATGCTAAACATGTAAACAGTACCCCATAATGCTTCACTTCACAACGGCCTTTGATATGCCAGGGACCAAAATAATCCACAGCACAGAATGTAAAAAGTGGAACTGGTTCAAGGCGATCATCCGGTAAGTTTGCCATCTTCTGTTCTTAAGGACCACCCCTGCTTCCGACAGGACACATTTGGAGATGTGATTAGACACTACAGAACTTCCAACAATCCAGTAGCCACTTGATCTCATTTCATTCTGAGTGATACCACGACCTTGATGCTTAACTCACTGGTGATAATGGCAAAGGATAAGGTTCGTCACTTGTCCTTTCTTTGGTAGAATGACGGGATGTTTTAGATCGTAGGAAATGTTGGATTTTCCTAATCGCCACCAACTCGAAGAACTCCATCTTCGTCTAAGAAGGGGTACAACTTGTATCAGGAACTTGACTTCTTCATCGTCGTAATCTTGTCCTTGTTTACGTCTTGGTCAGCGACTTGTAGTTTGCCACTGACATCTCTATGGTGGCCTAGAGCTGCCATAGGGATTTTGTTATATTTTCAGCTTTTTTGTTTTATATGAATGGTTCTAGTTAATTCATTTTGTTTATTTTATTTTATTTTATTCCTTTTATTCTTTTATTTTATTTTTATTTCATTTCATTTTCAACAATACTTTCAGGAAACACCACCCTATTGCGGCTAAAATCATCGTACTTCTTACAAATCGTCATTAGTTGAAGTTATCTTTTCCTTTCTCTGGCTGTACAGTGCAGTAAGTGAAATAATAATTATCCATTATGAAACTTTTGTTGCTGTCTCCTGCAGACTTCAAAAGACGTTGGAGGAGACTATATGTGATGGTTTTTTGTGTACCACTTTATGCTGAAATTTTTCACTCATAATATTTGTAGAAAAATCACATACTGTGCTTGCAAGAATGGTACTATTTTCCCATTGACACTTGTATGTTTATTATCCTTTATTTCTTTGGTTTAATTGGTTATTATGAAATAAGTGATATATTACTTAAGAAAAGTACCTCGGAATCAACGGAAGAAGACTGAATTAGCAAAACCTTACTCTATGATGAAGCTCACTTTCAAACTTCTCTTTGAAGTTAAGGCCACAACGTATAGTAACATGCCGCTGACCACCAGCCGAACTTTTTGTCACTATTATTTCAGTAAAATGCTTGGTTCTTTTGCCTTACGTTTAATCCTGAAAATAATGCTGGCATAATATGTAAAACCTTGAGTCCTCCTTAGAAGACTCGAGGTAAGAATTAATCTGTTGCCTTTGTAAATAGATGCTCTTGACAGTTGCCTCTTAAGCTCTTTTTAGCTCAGTGTAGGCACCATCCAATAGTACCTTTTTCCTTTTATAATCATTAGTGAATAACTTTCTTTGGCTTTGTTTTTGCAGCCTTAAACTTGGCCTGACATTCTTGTACTTCTGAATCTATCGATTCTACTGCCAAATGTGCTGCTGACATTCTATCTAGCTTTGTTTGGCAGTGTTTCTTTTTTTTGGTTCCCAAGTTTGCGTTTCTTAGCACTTGAATCTGGATTATCAAGGAGTATCTTTGCATCTTCAATAACCATTCTTGCACCTCCTTCGATTAGTGAAGTTTTTCTTGATATTTCCCAGGAGACATCAGTTATATCACTGATGGTAGTTTTGTCGCATTCAGCTGTTTAAGGAGACGATGCCAACTGCTCTGCCTTCTCGTTGCAAAATCTAATCTAATCTAAGCAGGTGAATATAATGGGAAAATTATTATTCCCTTATATCTTCCTGCTGCTCTTGAAGATATTCTTTTATGGAATCCCCAACGGGAACCTTTGACAGCAGGTCACCCATTTGCTGTCTTGCTAGGTCGAAATTCTTACGGCTAAACACATCTTTGTATGACATCTTTGACATGTAAAACTGCAGCTTCCCTTCATCTACTGCGGATGGGAGTTGTTTTAGGAAAGCTGCAGTGTTTCCAGATTTTACAAACTTTCCAAAGCCCTTGTCTTGTAGTTTTACCATGGGTTGCTCAGTTTCCTCCATTGTGGGACGAGAGTTTGCATTGAATTTGTTTCAGAATGTCCGCATGTTGACAACAGGGCCAGCATGATCCAGTATTTTCTCTTCCACTGACTGCATACTTCCAGTTGAGGACAGTGCTTTGGAATTCAGGCTGTGGTTTTAATGAAAAGAATCCAGACATGTTACTTTATCATCTGTTAGTGGTATCTACACTGTAACTTAGTTGAGATTATGAGAAAATGCAAGGGGTGACAGGCCGCACATCTATACCGGCGTGAAACCTTGTGTAAACCTTTTATATTTTAGCTCTAACGAGCATGTCCTTTAGGGATTTTCCTTTCTTGTAGGAAATGATAGGTGGTTCTTTGAAAATTTGGCAAAGCAACCGTTGGTTTTGTATAAGATTCCAGTTTTTCATTAAAACTTCTTTTAAAGTAGACACTGAGGGCTGGTACTGTGTCACAAAAGGCAATATTTCTTTTTCCTGTTTGTTGTTGTGTTTCAGGAGAGCAGACTCCCTCTCTGTGAACTTTATATCTGATAGAAGGTTTTCTATCAAAGTTTGTGGGTAGCCTCTGTCAATCAAGCATATTTTGAAATTTGAAATATTTTCCTCAAACGTTGTTTTTGAGGAGTTTGTTCATAGGATTCTCAAGGCTTCTCCTTTGACAAATCCTTTTTTAACACTCGGCGGGTGACAAGGGGTGAAATGTGTGTACTGGAAGGTTTCCGTTTTTTTAAAATGTGTCTTTACATCAAGGATAGATTTTTCCTTGAATTTTGTGCCTTTGTATACAATCGTGTCTAAAAACACAGTCTCAGTGTCAGATATTTCGGCCGTGAATTTGATTGTTGGGTGATGTAAGTTTGCTTGTTCGATGAAGGCTTCGATGTCTGGTTTACTGATGTCCCATAGGGAAAAGATATCGTCAATGTAGCGTTTCCAAACTGTAGGTTTAAAAACGGTTCTGCTTAGAATTGTTGTTTCAATATATGCCATGAAAATATTGGCAAAAGAAACTGCTGTCTTTGTACCCATTGCAGTGCCATGGGTTTGTAAGTAGTGTTTTCCATTGAACTGGAAATAATTTTCTTTGAGGATTAGTCTAAGCATTTCCCTCAGGTAATGTGTAGGAATAGGAGGTTTGTCTTTGTAGAAGCTTTCATATGCTTTGCAGACAATTTAAATGCCCTCGTTTTGTGGTATATTTGTGTAAAGACTTGTGATGTCCATCGAAACAAGAAATGTTCGTTTTTTTACCTTTGTGTTTTCAATAAAATTTATAAAGTCGGTGGTATCTTTAAGGTATGATTTCTGTATTTTTGATATTGCAGTAATGTATCAACAAAAGAGGAAATTCTTTCTGTTGGACCATCGCAGCCGGAGATAATTGGTATCCCTATAATGGTTGGCTTGTGAATTTTCGTTAGAGTGTAGAACTCTGGTATTCTGGGTGGATTAGGTGTTTGAGATAGCCATTTTCTTGTCATGTCATCAATATGATTTTCACGGTGAAGATCTTTAATTAGGCGCAAGACCTTGCTGTGCGTTTCTTTCACCATGGGTTCAGAGAGAGGTCTGTAGTTATGTTTGTCTTCGATTTGTATTTGACCCTCTCTTATTTTGTCGGTTTTGTTCATGACTACTGTAGTGCTCCCCTTGTCCGCTTTTTTAAGGTTGATGTCTGTGTTTTGCTTTAATTCTGTTACAGCTATGTGTTCCTTGCATGACAAGTTATTTTTTGGCTTTGTTATTTTTATCTCTGCGAGTTGTGATTTAACTTCTTCCAGATAACTCTCGAGGGCTACTGATGGTTGAACCAGTGGGTTCCAGTCAGATTTAACGTAGAAAGGGTGAACTTCCCTATTTTTTCCGTGGAACATATATTTAAGGCGCATTCGCCTTGCAAAATTTTCAAAATCTCGTAGCAACTGTCGTCGTATTTTGTTTCTGTTAATAGATTTGTTGACTGGTATAAATTTGAGACCTCGAGAGATTAAACTAATTTGTGCGTCAGTTAATTTTCTGTTTGAGAGGTTCTTAATATATTTTCCCCCTTTGGTAGTTTGATAACTGACTTTTTTCTTGGAAGACCTTTTTCTCCTTTCTTTGCGTGTAGCAGTTTTCCTTTGTATTTTTCTAGAGAATGATTTCCCTGTAATTTTGTTTGACCCACCCATGGTGTCGTTCACACATGTAACAGACATTTGTGAGTACTTTTCACAATTTTTATTCTCTGTGTCACTATGAAGTTTTGACAAAAGGTACTCGTATTGCTCTTTTAGTTTTGAAGCTAAAGCTTTGATTTCATTACCATCCTCTGTAGTAGATACGTTTACATTTTTGCTGTCCTTGCGGCCCTTACGGTTTGCCAAGGACATTTCCTTATGTAGTTTCTGTTTCTGTTTTTCTAGGCGACGGTAGTGAAACTTAGGGCTTCGACAAAACCGCACTCGGCTTTCTGTTTGATGGCCTTAATGTCCTTTTTAAATTGTTCATCTGCTGATATGTTGGCCCGTGCAGAGTATCTAAGTAGCTTTGGACAAGTGTTCCTTTCCAAATGATTTTTCAGAAGTTTTATGGAATCTTCTGTTTTCTTTATCTTTGCTGTTGTGGTGGTTGGAACTTCGCTTGCTTTCCTTTTTAAATCTTTCTTTTTTGCTTCGTTCTTCCTTTGTGGTTCTTGTGGTGGAGGTTGTTGGTAGCTTGTCAGCGGGTAAGGACGAAATATGGGGTAGGCCATGGCCCACCCTATGGGGTAGGCCATGGTGTAGGCCATGGGGTAGGCCATGGTGTGGGGGTGGTCAATTTTCTTATTTCTTTGATATTTAAAAGGGAAACTGCATATAAATAATATAATAAAATATAATAAATTTCTGCCATGAATTCCTCTCCAACACTAAATGAGTTGTTAATGTTGAGTCACTTGCCGTGTCGTGCACGTGTCATAAAGTAAGAGGTTGTTCGCGGTCTATTTCTAGTCAATTGTTACAAAGACGCCAAAAAATGGAATGTTGCGGAGTGTTCAGAGTATTCTAAGATTAGAAAAAACAAACAAACAAACGAAGCTGCGCAGCCTGAAGAGTCTGGGTACGACATTGAAAACCAGAGCGCTCATACCCATCTGGTCAGCGGTCTTCAATACCTACTTGCTCTTTTGCAAGGACAAAGTAACAGAGGAGATAAAGTTCAGGTAACATATATTGACAGATTAAATTCTGCAAGCAGAATACTGCAGTGCTGATCGTACTACGTGAAAATGAAAACAGCTGTCTATGGCTACAATCCCGCTCTGTTTTTAGTTCTTTTGGTGTCGTGTTGATGTCTTGCAAAGTTAATGTTCACGTTGTACGATCGGCATTGCGGTATTCTGCTTGCAGAACTAAATGTCTGTTTGTTATTTTTGCTGTTCAGGTCTGGTCTGATAAAGGTCAGGTCAGGTCTGATAAAATGAACAGACTAAAATACTACGATTTCTTTACATAACAGTACAAAATTACTGCTTTGGGTGAAGTTTACACAATTAATGTCCTCAGTGAAAATGATAGCAGAGGCAGTAGTCCCGTGGGACGTAAGGAATTAACGAAAACAACCAGCCATATGGCAATTTAGAACCATCAGTAATAACAGCAAGCAAGTGTTTTATTCATTTGTCATTAAACACAAATAAGTGAAAAATTGAAAGAGGAACGAGGTACTTTGTCTTTTGCAGTTTCCAGTCACGTGACCTGCATGATGTTACTTTATATAATTTAGTGAAGTAAACCCAACTATTTTGGTCTTCAAGGCAAAATTACAAATCAATTTTACAAATCACTCAAGCCTATTAATGCTTTGATAGGTTGAGCCTAATATGCATATCTTAAAATGATCAACCGTGTGAAAATTTATTAAAAATCTTCTAAAATTTGTAACCTTGGACTAATCGCTAATCTCGACTTTCTTACTACCTTAGAAACCAGATATTTGTGTCACGTGACCCGTTATAGTGAAGTCCAGGAAAGAAAAGAAAATGAAAAATGGGGCGGCGAGATGCCACACAGTAAAAATCAAATACAGTATTTCTTCTCAGTTGTACCATTGTTCCTTGCATGAAATACGGTTGACATTCATTTTTATTTAATTAATAATTAAGAAAAAGAGGTCACGTGACACTCCTTATCTTATAATATCTTTTAATAGTTTTAAATTTTTCTTCACTACAGCCACGAAAAATCTTTGTAACGAAAACCAAACAATTATACATAGTTTGGAAGTAGATCAAATTAACCATTCCTATCACATTTTGAAAATTCTTTTGAACGTCAGAAAACGCATCAAAATAAAATTTCCCGAAAATTATTTTCAGCAACTTTTAGAATAAAAATCTTCGCCGGTGGTGGAGACAAAAAAAATCCATGTCTTAAGGTGCTTAAACATTCAAACACGGAAACTTAACATGCTTGATCAAGCCTTTCCCTTAATAAATGAAGGTCTTCAGCATTCAATGTGTAGGGAATAGACATTCGAACACTTTCAAAGTTGAAACTTGGATTTCGCCCCACTAAACAATTGCGATACAGGTGAAAATGCTTATTGTCAAAAGTTTTTTCCAGTAGTTCTGCGTTTTAATCCAGACATAATCATGCCCTTTGTGGCGAAGACACATTCTCTGATCTAGGTCGGCTTTCAGAAATGGATCCAGTCCGTCCTTAAGTTCGCCACCACATCCTGCACATTTTCGGATTTTCCCTTTAATTTCTAAAAGTTCAAAGGGGGTGCTGGTTGTAGGATTAACTAACGGTTTAGTCGGTTTGGCCCTTCAAATTGTCATACGCAAATCGGAGGTTGAAATGGCGGCATATTCTTTGTTAGTTTGAGCGATGGCATCACCAAGTGTGCCTTTGCAGGCAGCCATGTTTGTCATCACATCAGGTGACTTGCTACGGTGCCTTATTGTCTGACTGGATTTCTTTTTCCTTGCAGCTCTGTTGACAGAGAATGTCGTCAAGGACGTCAAATGTTCTTTTCCTCGCCTGCTTTTCTTGAACCAGGAAGTGAATTGTAACAAACAATGACCAGCTGCAGCAGCTGCCACCGTGTGTGCACAAATTTTGCGTGACACAAACCCCAGGCATTCTTTGTCACAAGAGAAACTGGCCCCTACTCTTTTAACGATATGGGGCTGCGATGTGGAGGTGCTCCTGACAAAGAATGTGTCTTTGTCAAATCCTGTACGAATGCCATCGTCAGTTTGGAGACGGACAGCCTTATCTGCCAGAGCTACCACATCTTTCTTTGCAAAAGTATCCAGCAGACCCTCCAAGCACTCCAGTATTGTACCGACCCTTACACCAAGGACGGGTTCTTCTTCCAGATTTCCCATGTCACTAGAACCTTCAAAGTCATCGTTGCCACTACTAACATTTGAGGCAGGTGTGTTAGGCGTGTGCGGAAGGCCTGGTTTTGTGCGGTAACGGATACCTTCCTGGTATCGTGTGGGGTCAACCAAAACTTTTTACGGATTTCATGATGGTTTTACGCTCCTCCAGTGTGGCATCTAAAAACGCTCTCGGTTTTACATGGTCTCGATATTCTTCTTGTACTAAGTACGGACTATGAAGTCCCAGAAAGGCTCGGTTTACATCACTTCGTTGTTTGTCAACAAGTTCCTTTATATCACCCACGAATGTGCTCATGTCTTTTGCCTCAAAATTCTGCCAGCACTTCCTGACAGCATTTACATACTCGGATACATTGTTGCACTGAACCTCATCACCAAACCCGGCTTCTCTGGATACCTTTGCTGACAAATGGTTCCATACTTCATCGGCTTTGTGTCTCACAAAATACGTTGCAAACTGCGGATCTCGCCTTGTATCCTTCTGCTCCAAGGTGTCCCACTTCCTTTTTAGCTCCTCAACTTTCGCCCAATATTCAGTTTTCTCCGACGCGTGGACAAGGCCTTCGGATCCAAATATGTCATTGACGATAACTTCAGTGGCAGCTTTCGACATCTGCAGCTTGGAGCATTTTTCTTTGATGTTCTGTTTCACGTGCAGTTTGCACAAGAATGAGACGGACCTCTCAAACTCCTGTCCAAACGCTTCACGAAGTGCTAACTCACCATCCGTGCAATATGCTTGTAAGTAGGCCTTCACTCCGGGTAAACGAGCCGTTATTTTCTGAAACAATGTTATGTATGTTGCTTTGTCCTTAAGCATGCATAACATGACAGGGCCAAGAAGGACTGGACAAACGGGATGGCTAGAGTTCTTTGTGTAAAGCGTTGTATTTCGATAAGAAGTAACCAGCACAAAAAAAGGCCCTAGCTGGAAAGTGACATCTACATAGAGAATTGATTTGTGCCCATCAACATCATTACAGCAAAAGTTGGCAATGTCGTCTAACTGCTCATCAGTGAATAAGATGACCTTTGGAGAATCGTCATCCAAAGAATANTTCACTCCGGGTAAACGAGCCGTTATTTTCTGAAACAATGTTATGTATGTTGCTTTGTCCTTAAGCATGCATAACATGACAGGGCCAAGAAGGACTGGACAAACGGGATGGCTAGAGTTCTTTGTGTAAAGCGTTGTATTTCGATAAGAAGTAACCAGCACAAAAAAAGGCCCTAGCTGGAAAGTGACATCTACATAGAGAATTGATTTGTGCCCATCAACATCATTACAGCAAAAGTTGGCAATGTCGTCTAACTGCTCATCAGTGAATAAGATGACCTTTGGAGAATCGTCATCCAAAGAATAAGCACGGGTGAATTTTTCCCCATCTTGGGACTGCTCTTTCATTTTTTCTGTTATTTGAAATATGGGATCCATTACCTTCGGTGGTCGACACTCGCCCTTTAAGTACTTCACTTGTCGTTCGTTTCTAGGGAGCTGTCCAACAGAATTGCACTGTTCAAGTCCACCAACATCGTCTTCTATTTGCTGTACGACTCTCTTCAATGACTTCTCTTTTCCAGAGACAGCAGTCGCCATCTCTGACATGGTGCTTCTATAGGTCCTCAGATAGGGAATTGCACAGCCTGATTTTGCACTCCCATGAGGCTTTAACTGAATGCTGTGCTCTGGCGCTCCTTCGAAGTAATAACGCACAAAGACCAACTTGTGATGGCTTCCGTTGGGACGAACCACATTGACAATGGTCTTTTGCATCGAGTTATCGCTCCTGTTTACAAATGTTCTACGAAAGACACTTTGCCTACCGTCAGCGTAATCAGGCTGTTTTATGATCTTTGTGACATGGCCATTCTTTCTTCCTAGTTGGTACTTTTTGACTGAAGTTTTGCTTTGATTCCAGGAACCAAGATCATCACAGAGTAAATCTTCTGGGTCCTGGAGCCGATCGAGATCCACCAGAAAACACGCCTTATTTTCAACACGGATTGGATGCGTTGTAGCGATTAACCTGGAATGAGACTTCTCCGCGCTAAGTAGAAAAGGAACGACGCCATTGTTACTGAAATCACTCAATATCGCAGGGGAAATCACAGGAAGCTGTCTATTTCCTTTGTAATACGAAGGGATATGGTTTTCCTGTTCGTCGCATGAACTGGAATCCGAAAGGTCTAAGCGACGTGCATACCTGTTGAAATAGAACACAAGCGTTTAATGTTAAGTGTGGGATATCCACGTTTCAAAAGTATTGGTGTCTGTTTATCATTCTTTCGNCGCTTTTCCAGAGACAGCAGTCGCCATCTTTTACATGGTGCTTCTATAGGTCCTCAGATAGGGAATTGCACAGCCTGATTTTGCACTCCCATGAGGCTTTAACTGAATGCTGTGCTCTGGCGCTCCTTCGAAGTAATAACGCACAAAGACCAACTTGTGATGGCTTCCGTTGGGACGAACCACATTGACAATGGTCTTTTGCATCGAGTTATCGCTCCTGTTTACAAATGTTCTACGAAAGACACTTTGCCTACCGTCAGCGTAATCAGGCTGTTTTATGATCTTTGTGACATGGCCATTCTTTCTTCCTAGTTGGTACTTTTTGACTGAAGTTTTGCTTTGATTCCAGGAACCAAGATCATCACAGAGTAAATCTTCTGGGTCCTGGAGCCGATCGAGATCCACCAGAAAACACGCCTTATTTTCAACACGGATTGGATGCGTTGTAGCGATTAACCTGGAATGAGACTTCTCCGCGCTAAGTAGAAAAGGAACGACGCCATTGTTACTGAAATCACTCAATATCGCAGGGGAAATCACAGGAAGCTGTCTATTTCCTTTGTAATACGAAGGGATATGGTTTTCCTGTTCGTCGCATGAACTGGAATCCGAAAGGTCTAAGCGACGTGCATACCTGTTGAAATAGAACACAAGCGTTTAATGTTAAGTGTGGGATATCCACGTTTCAAAAGTATTGGTGTCTGTTTATCATTCTTTCGATCGACTTGTTGTTCAAACTGGATTGTTTGATCAAACACGCAAGCACTATTGTTGAACATACCGTTTTGTGTCATTACCAGCAGGGTCTTCGTCACCGCGGCTTCTGGTACTGCCGTCGCTTCTGCTACTGTGCGGAAATAAAAATGATAGTCAGTGTTATCAATTGACCAGCAATAGGTTTCTTTGCTCTTTGACAAATGCTACAAAATCTAAAATCTTGCAAAAGAAAGTGTTAAGAATTTGGCACTTTCTTACCCAAAGGACACCCGGGCCACGAATGTGGCACCGTTGTTACCCCTACCCCACCCCACTCTGATCAAAATTGTTCGGTAAGGGCAAAGATGTTCCGGCCAGGCTTAGACATTGTTTTTTTCAGGGGAAAGGGGGAAACATGTATAGTCAATAGTGCTTTAAAGAGACATATAACGTGCATTTTACTAAACATTTTTGTCAAAGAGTTTAGGTAAGTAACAATGTCACTTGGAACCAACCTTATGTCCTTACAATTTGTGTCATTCTCACGTCCAAGCCCGGTTTGTTCAAATACTGGATTCCACCAAAAAAATCACCATCCAGCAGATAAGTATTACAGAAACCAATTGCATTATCCAATGGATAGAAGTTCATCCAGTGGATATCTTCATCAAGCTTTTGAACAACTAGGGCCAGACCTATTGAGTAAAAACTTTTTGGATCCATAAATCAAACTTATCTCTCTTAAACAAATTAATTTACGGGCATACTATATTTGCCTGCTGGTATACCATAAATATGAACAGTATCTTTGGTTTATATGCTTTTGATATCAACTTTTGGATGACTGATGCCTGTTTCACGAGTTGAACTTATCAGAACTAATGAGGCCCACTAAAATTTATAAGCGCACATCAGTTGTTACAGACGCCAATAGTACCAAATGCCGTGAAATGAACTCATGTACGTGGATCAGACTGCATCAAACACATTCCAGAGTCTCAATCAGTTCCCGGCAGATGGATAGACAACAACAAAACTTTCAATGTACTTGATTGAAGGAATGAGGTTTGGGTCTTGGTTTGGTACCCCATCCTATCACTAAATGAAATGAATTTACTTACTGCACAATGGACTCTTTTACTTTCCCTCTTTTCGTTGGGCTCTCTAAAAGTGATAGCTCTTATGCTAGTATTTCCACCTAATTTTAGAACGAAGAAAAAATTGTAGGCTGTGAATAAATGAATTTTAAGTTACAGTAGAAATCAAAGCACGTTAAGCAAGCTCACATGGAGGCTCATTTCGGTCTAATTTCAAAAACAATTAACCTGTAATAACATTAACAACTGTCAATAACAATTAACTTACAAATCGAGTTAAAGAATTAAAACGACAAGTGAAGTACAAAAATTCTTCCAGCAGGAAATAATGTGTTGCCTCCGAGCAGAGTCAGTTTCTTTCCTTTGAATCTATTGTTTCCTTGTCTATTTTTTCTTCTGAAAACAAATCAAACGTTTTCTGTAAACAAAAGGTAACCTACGTTTTCTGTTCAGTCTGTTGTTGTTCTTGTTCAGAATCATTGTCCTGATTGAAACAAGCATGAGACTTCTTTTGGACCTTTTATAAGGTACCTTTCATTTGTAAACTGTTAAGTATATGTGTGCAATACCGAAATGACAGTTGCCTCTGTTGTTTATAAAACTGTAAGTTATTATTGTGGTTATAAGAGAAACAAAGATGCCAAAAGCACACCTGGCAGCAAGATTTTTTCTTGTATTAAATGGGTGTAAATGACAATAAATCAACATGCTTCATGGTCTTCATGGTTGTCTATCTATTATGGGTAAACAATGACGAAAACATGTCACGCTATCTGCTATATTTCAGGGAAAAAAAAACAAAACAAAGCAAAAATCTTCCTCTCATTAACTGGATTCCAAAAGCTATGGTCCAGTTTACCGATTCAAGATTATATTGAAAACAGGAAAGAATTAGAAAGTGTCTCCTTGGCCTCATCAACATCCAAATGTTTATAAAATTTACATTTGTATTAAAGTACGGAGTGAGATAATTAGGAAACTATTCGGCCGAAACAACTACATGTATCTATAAATGTAAACATTGACCTGCATGCGTGACCTTTGGAATGTCACCTTATACTTGTAAACACAATTTTCTTTCGGGCGCATGGGTTTTTCCAAGCAAGATGACTTCGTTTTCATAACTTCGCTTTGAAAAAATACTTAACAGATATCTCAATCGCATGAAGGTTAAAGACGAACAAATGAAAGCAAAACCTTCTTATTGGATCAGTGTTAATGGATCAGTGTTAATGAGAAGAGCGAAATTACAAACGTTAGTCTTTGAGTTTACTTCCATGACAGGAAGATCACTAAATAATATTAATTCACCAGCAGTCCGAACTGCATTGCTGTCTCATTTGCTTCTACGGGTTTAAAAATTTCACCGAGGAGACAAAGTAGGAATCTAGATGATTGTAGGTTACAACAAGATAGTGTTACAAAAAACCATGATTTGTAGCCTGACACGCCCAAAGTCTGTTTTGTAATTTCAAAAATAGAACAACTGAATCAACAAGTATTTCTGCTTACCTTCATCACCCGAACTCATGACGATGAAAATCTCGCGCTCTGTGTATAGCAAACCATAAAGGTCAGACAATGAGACCATATGTCAAAACGCCATTAGCAAAAACATCATTACCACTAGAGAATTCCTTCATAGTCGTACGAGAGCGGCAAAGTTCATTTGAAAAAAGACTCAACTCTTACCTTCTGCTTCCGCCATTCTACCGATGTTTTTCTTGACACGTGACTTGTAATGGCGCGAAATTATGTACCACGCTACCACCCACCTCTAGGGTGGTGTGCTGATAATTGTCAAATCCTAAATACATTATTCTCAACAAGGGCCCAATAATCTAAAATAATCGGTAGCATAAACATTATTAAAAATTATTGAAATTTCCTTTTTTTCTTTTTTTGAAAATTGACCACCCCCACACCATGGCCTACCCCATGGCCTACACCATGGCCTACCCCATATTTTGTCCTTAGCCCTTGTCAGCCCATAGTCCTCGCTGTTGCTGCTATTTTCGTCTCCTCCACCGACCAGTTGATCGTATTGTGTGTTGAGCAGGCTCTGAGAGGTGGCGTCATCACTATCGCCCTCCATGTTAGTTTTCTGAAGAAATGTGAGTTTTACAAGCAAGACCGGCGGTTTCGAATCTTACGATTCTCATCAGTTGCTATGTAGTTGGAAGGTTGAGGTTAACTCTGAACCATTTCGAATTGCTAGATTTACTAGGGGTTTTTATACCCACCTTGATTTGTTTGGAGGATCGAAAATGGTGCAGTATGATTGGCTCCTTGCTAGCCAATCAGGTTGCTGTAGGTTCGGAAAACCTCTCTTCCCTTAAGGTCTTCTCCTTTCCTCAGAATTTTGAGGAACCTTTTGTGGTAGGTTGTATTGATATTTTCTGGAACCATGCACAAGATAATATGACAACATCTTGATTATATGGGCTTGGAAGGCCTCTGGTAAAGAGTAAAGAAATCTAGATTCTGTGACTACTGAATAATATTCCTTTAGTCTTCCTTGTGAGGTGAATGAATAATCATCCGTCTATAACATTGTCACTAGCTCCAGTTCAGATTTTCGCTGAATTATCTTATCGGCCATGCATGTATACGTTCTTTTGGAAAGAGTATAGAGAGTCTGTTTCAGGAACGTTAATGTTACATGTTTAAGTTTAACACTTGAAGATTAATGTTACATTTTACATGTAAAAACTATTACACTTAATTGTAGATCTATCATAGGTAGTGAAGAGCTTCCCCCTTTTACACTTGTGTACTTAACGTTGTTCAAATAGAACATGTTTACAACTTGCAATGTAGTTCATAGGTAATGTGTGTGTGTGTGCGATGCATGTGTATTGAACTATAAACTAGCAATGAATTATGGTCACCTCAGGTAGCCTTATGAACATAATTAGTATAGTATTTCTTTAAGAGAAGGATTACTATTTTTCCGTGTGTAACACATTTGAAACTGAATGGTGTGGTTCCAGAAATAATTGATTCCTCCCTTCCCTCACTGGTGGTTATTTGAAACTCAACAGCGAGTATGAACTTGCCATAATTTTAAAGGCCGAAGTTGGTCATCTAACC